AGGCAGTGAAAATCAACAAGGTCAACAGTGCGGCAATGGCAACAAGAGCAATGGCAACAGGAGGAGGAGAGCGGTGGATAATGAGCAGTTGGATCTGACGTTGAGGTTGAGGCCCACCCCGAATTGTTTGGCAAATTCAAATTTAAATTTAACAGCGACAGCGCGTTGTTATCTTTCAACGACCAACTGCAAGCCAGTTCAAACGACCGACTGCAACAGCAAGCCAGCAACCGGAGGAACAGCCAATAATAGGGGGTAAAGTGGCTCCGGAAGCATGACTCAATGCATGACACACAAGCCGAGTCGTCAAGATAATAGGATCCTCATCGCGATTTCGATCGACAACAGGATAAAGAACAAGGGGAACAAGTGGATTGCTTACGAGCGAATCAACAAAAAGGGGATTGCTTGCGAGCGAATCCAATGTATCGACAAAGGGATCATATGGATCCAATCGACAGATTAAGTTGCAATAAGGGGAAGGACTACCGATGAAGATAATGAGAGGAAACTCAGGACTCTGCACCAAGGGATAGCTCATTCCATTGACAACCATAAGGGATAGACATATAAGAAATAGAATGAGTAACATCTCATAACCTCGCATGCTACCATGCGACAATACCATTGTGGATTGATTAATCTAACGATCTAAGAGATGTAAAGTTTGTATTTCCAAATAAGTGAGCAGTTATTGATTATTTTCTAGAATAGGCCCGCAATTTATAAAGCTGTAAAGCTGAATTGTAAGCTGTATCCCGTCGCATCATGGCCGCTGACGAAGAGGAGTTTCCTAGTGAGTGCCCTCTCTCGTTTCCCGAGATTGAATATCGCCAGAAGGATGATGCCGAAATCAAGAAACTTCTCAGGGACAAGTCTAAAGACTACAAGAAACAGTCCTTTTGTAGATGCGATAAGACTTATGACTTAGTCATCAACAAAAATGACAAGATCGTGATTCCCGAAACCATGCAAAAGACATTGGTCGAATGGCACCACGGCGTCCTGATGCATCCTGGCGAGACTCGCACAGAACTTACCATCAGACAACACTATGCCTGCAAAGGCTTGCGCAAGACTGTGCAATCCGTATGTCAGCATTGTCAAAGCTGTCAACTGAACAAGCCCAAAACGCGCAAGCTAGGACATCTTCCTCCCAAGACATGTGAGGAGATTCCATGGGAACGATTGTGTATCGACCTTATAGGTCCCTATACAATAGGAGAGCCAAAGAAAAAGTAATCTTGCCCACTCCACTGCTTAACTATGATTGATCCCGTAACTGGATGGTTCGAGGTCTCAGAGATTCCCTCCAAATCCGCAGATGAAGTAGCCATCATCCTAGAACAGACCTGGCTAACAAGGTATCCATGTGGCCAACGGAAGTTATCATGGATAAAGGACGCGAGTTCTGCGCAGAAGTCAAGAAGACTCTCTGGGATGAGTATGGACTCCGTCGCAAGTTCATTACGACACGCAACCCTCAAGCCAACTCCATGGTCGAGCGAGCTCATCAGACCATCCACAACATGATCGCCGTCCAAGGCATCAAGAATCAAAATGACCTCGTGAATTTATCCTGGAATGGAGTCCTTATCACGGTATGGTTCAATGATAGGGAAAACGTCATCAATACAATGTCAATGACACTGTGATGATTCAACGGTATCAGCTCCGCAAGGACGGTCAGCCAAAGTACAAAGGTCCTTACACTATAGACCGAGTCAATGACAATGGCACTATATGGCTCCGACCACCAACGGCGGCACAGTCTACCAGACTTGGAACATAAGGTATCTACACCCATACAAGGCCTGATCCCCTTGTAGGATTGCCATCGTGCGACGCACATGTCTACATCCAAACTCTGGAGAGTGCCCCGCACTTTAAATCATATATTCTCCTTGTCTGACTGCTGTCGTGCCTCTGCTGACCCTTGTCAGGGGGCGAATGCAATACACGGCTCTTAGCCTTATTCGCGACTCGATCCTAGATAGGGTTTGAGTTCACTCATGACTGAGTCTTCGTGAATAGTCATTGAGACGGGGTGGAAACTTCAGCTAGTAACTGTCAAGTAGCGTGGAAGCTCTCCATGCCAGCTAAATATCTAGAGCGATGTTTCATCGACAACCTAGTATGGGATCATGGAGTACGTAGATTCCCTGCTACAATCTACAATATCACACTTCCAGGCCTCCCGCGGGAAACCTGCTCAATGAACTTCAGGACGAATCTCTCTCCTTAATTAGTTTTCGTAGCTTTCTAATCTCTCTCATAACTTTCATTCTCTCAAACTCAAAACACTCGAAAGATCTTTACACTAGCTTTTAGCGTAGTGCAGTACGGTCTTCCTGATCTCTCAGCGATGATGTCCGAGTTGGAGGAAATAGGCAACAGATTCTTGTGAACAACAAATTATTAGTAATGGCCACGAAAATAATACTTATAAAGTTCTTTGTAAAAAATATGAAATGAATCTGTTTCTTTATTACCAAGAATTCCAGCTTATTCCAAATGCTGCAATTGCCAGTTATTCAGAAAGCTTTTAAGAGAAAGTACTGCTCTGTATTTGTTCTTTCTGTTTTGGTTGGAGCTCAAATACTGTACAATGCTTTTCTTATCAAGACTTTTGAATCTATAACTAAAAATAAAGTTTCCTTCATTGGGAAGCCATATTGGAAACCAATAATAGTCCCAAAAGACTTGTTGATAAAAGATAACTGCATAAATATTTTGCCAGAGAATAGTAGCTGTCCACTTTTGAGTGCAGTAACTCGAAAGCCATCAAAACTGATTTCACATCGTGCAGCTGTTTGCTCCATTGCAAAGGATGAGAGAGTATACCTAGATGAATGGCTAACATATCAACTTTCAGTATTAGGTTTTGCAGAAATTTATTTATTTGATAATGGAAATGAGTTGCTGGGAAAATATTGTAACTGTAATGGGATTCAGGTTATACCATGGCCAGGGAAACATCAACCACAGTTGACTGCATTTGATTTATGTGTCCGATTAATCAAAGAAAAGAACAAAAAATCCACTCAAGTACACACGACACCTGAAAACTCTAAGGTGACTTGGGTTGCCTTTATTGATATCGATGAGTTCTTTGTAATTAAAAATGAGTCTGAATCTATTGTTGATATCCTACATGATCTGATACCACCAGTGGATCTATACAATAGTATAAAACATCAGTTACCAGCTTCTCTTTCAATTAATTGGTTCGTATTTGGAACATCAAATAAAACAAAATACTCATCAGAGCCTGTTACATATCGTTTTCGGTATCGAAACATCAGTGCAAATGATCATATAAAATCAATTGTATTGCTTGATTCAATAAGAAAAATTGACCATCCCCACTATCCAGTTCTTGATGAAAATGCATATTTTGCTATCGATAGTCAACGCAATAAACAGCCAGCTTTGTATCCCTACAACCCCCATGGTCCTGTTGATAGGATTATTCTACATCATTATCAGTTTAAATCGGAGAGTGAATTTTACTATAAGGCTTGTATTCGAGGTCGCTCAGATAAGAACCTATCCCATCCTGAGTACAAGTCTTACTGTGGTAGCCAAACCTTTGCTGGGCTGGTCTATGATGACAAAGCTTGGCAAGAGCTCACCAAGCATGTTCCAGATTACAATTTTCATGCTCTGGAAAAGATATAGTAATGGACTTGGTTTGGTTGAGAATGGCATTTTTATGAGGGTATGGGCAAATGTCACTATAGAGCTGTACTCAAGAGACTCATCACTCAGAATGTCTGTTGAAAATACTGTTGTTTGTATTGTAAACGGCAATTAAATTAAATTAATTTTAATTTAATTTAATCCGAGAGAAAACAACCAAAATCTAACAAATGCAATGGAGGGCTGTGGGAAAGTTTGTCCATCTCCTGACAGGGTATCTGTTGTGTGGCCAGGTTGCAAGCAACTCTCATCTCATAGTATCCTCCAAGTCTGTAGTACAAAAGGGTGAACACAAAGGGTTGTAAACATTAACTAATATTCATGTAAGTGGGGGGATGTATCTCAGGCACCCAGGCCATGTTGGTAGCATGGAGCTGGAACCAATGGGTGTAAGGTATGAGTGGGGATGCTAATAGACTCCAAGCTTGCCACAGATCATTGGTTCACACTGTTTTCAATATGGCTCCGTTCAGCGTGTGGTCTATCGAGGTGCAGCCTATAAAATAAAACTTCGTTATTTCACACTGTTTTCAATACCAGGATGCCTGTGTACAATCTCAGGAGATCATGTGTGGATTCTGCTGCAAGTGGTCTGCTAGATGTGCTCCTTTTCCTTTTACATTCTAGCACTGGTGATGGTGGTTGTTGGTGAAGGCATTTCCCCAACACATCACCAGTGCTCCCCCCCATGATCATTGCACGGTTGTTCTTTGGATGAGGATTCCTCTGGTTATCGAACCAATCGAACAAGCAACAACAGCTTATCAGCAACTTACTTGACGGCCAATCGATCACTGTGGGAAAAACAGTACAACAACCCGGCGAAATGGGCATTCTACTGGAAGGAAGCTAAACAACAAGCTTCGAGTGAGAGATAAGAACTCCCATCTTAACCACAGTGGTAGCATCATTAGGAAACACATCCTACCCAATAGGATCATCCAATTCTGATCACAGAAGGAAATCAAGCATACCAACTCAGTTAGCAGCAACAAGCAGCAAAATAACAACCAAAACCCTAACCCTATCACCCACCCAAAAACCCCAACTCCCAATTCACCACCAACCAACATGAACTCTTCAGTTGACAAGGATAATTCTCCAGAAGATGGATTTGAAGAGGTTGTCAGCAAAAACAAGAAGAACGCAACCGTAATGGTTACTCTGGTTTCCAAAAGGCGAATAAAGTTGGAATCTGCTTCACCAGAGTTGGCGACAATAACTCATCTGCCTTCACCCAAGAGGAACTCAACAAAATCATCAAGTTGGTAGGAGAAGTGGACAACACTGCTGTGCTTATGCCATTCAACTGCAACATCAACCAGGCAATCTCGATCAGAAAAGCTGCCACTGGAGATTGGGTCGCATTTGGAGATATCAAGAACACCCACTGGGGAGCAGACATTGAAAACAGGTTCAAGGCGCACTTTACCATTTGGATTGCCTCAGACAGCATTGGCAGAAATCTCAGGACACTCAAAGAGCATCTTCCTTTGTCAGGATACCTCAAAACGGTCAACATTCAGATGAGACCACACAATCTACGAGAAAGTGTTAGTAAGTCGGTAGGATTCCTTTTGGGTGCTAACCCAGAGAGAACTTACCGCATTGGAGTTGCTGCTGACATGGAAGCACATTTGAAGACCCATATGGGCAACAAGGTGCCACCTTTCAATATTCAACGCACAACTGTACGCTGTGAAACCACCAGGTCTGACACAGTGTCCATGTTTGTTGGTGAAAAAGACTTAAACAGAGTAACAGAGATTCTCAAGAAACATCCCTTCAAAGGACCCCAGATCATCTTCAGTGATACCAAATCCAACAAGGAAGACTTCGAGAAAAACCTTAAGGTCAACAATGAAATCATCAAAAGGTGTGGAGCGGTGAAAGTGATTGGAGCAAACGGTGACATCATTGAAGCACTGAAAACTGTGGCAGAACAAAACAAAGCTCTCAACATCATCCACATCTCGACCACAAGTCACACCAAGGACATTGGAACAAAAAGGATGAAGTGCATCAGTTCATACAGCAGTCAATCCAGAATCATTGCACTAACAATCCCGACATCCAAGCACCAATCTTTGTTCCCCTTAGTCGGGATGACCGCACCGTGCAGACCCAACAAACCAGAGCAACAAAGGCAACCACAATCACCAAATTCGACTTTCTTCTGTCATCGGCAGTTTCAGATCAACCCCAACAAAATCCCATGAATACCACACGCCCTTCCATTCCGGCAATATTTATGCCGCGATTGTAGCTGGAGCCAAATCCAATCAACCCGACAATGAATCACAGAGCAGCCATGAAGGAGATGCAGTATCACATATGACCAACTCTGATGCAGCTAGTAGCACCAACACCGCAAAAACAGAAAGAGAGCAAGAGCTGGAAGACACCATAGATGACCTGGTGAGAGAAAAGAATATCTTGAGAGATGTCAACAAAGCTTTGCAAACATAGTTAAAGGAGATCAAATCGACCTTGAGCCAGACTCTCCAAACACATGCCAAGGAACAAAAGGAGCTCCAAGAACAACTGCAAGCAAACATGGAACAGACAATGCAACAAAAGCTGGATGAGATGCAACAACTGATGCAAAACAGATGGTGATGATGATTGCAGCAAGTAAAAGCACCACTGAGTCACCAGCACACAAGAAAAGTCGATGCGATGCTACACCGGGCACCAATCAGCAACACATCCAGCAGACAACCCACGATGTAGACATGGATCCAAGTGAAGGACAAGAATCAAACAGCAATGACGAAGCTACCACCACAGAAGACATGACAGGAGTGGCTAACCTGGATGACAAATTTGCAGCAGTGGAAGAACACGACAAAGCAACATCAGCGCCCCAAGCACGGGCGGTGATGGAGGGTCCTCATAATTCCAACTGACAACAATCCAAATGATGCAGTGGGACATACCTTGACAATCCCCAAAGATCTTACAACAACACGCTTTTACTACATCAATGCCAATGGAATCAACATAAACAGACAGGGGGGTGGTTCAATATGTGTGAAACAATGCAAGATATGCAAGTCGACATTTTGATGCTAGTGGAAACAAAATTGGACACAACAAAACAATATGTTAGAAGCCAACTTAAGGAGGACGCGACACAATCATTCGGGCACAAGGATGCATTCAAATTGAATGCCCTCCACTTCGATCAAAGCCGACAAGTCCAGGAAACATCTGAGAAGCACATCTGAAGGTAGGATACCAATCTACATGGTAGGTTATCGATTAAAGTCAAAGGTCGACCCTACGATACAAATCGTGAAGGAAGGTTGCGGATTTTGCACCAAAGCTTCTGGTTCCCCATGAAACAGTACTTACAAATCCGTTAAAGGCATGCTCAATGATCCAGTACGGCCCGTTTAACAAACCTACACCCTCGTTGTTCACAATGCGTGTGGTGGACACCGTGCATAACTTGAAGCATATCTGGGTCATTGGTAATTAAAAAGGATCGGCTGTAAATAGTTCTTTCCCTCCGAACAAAGATGTTTACCGTATAAAGCAGGATCCAGTACCTAGCCGAATGGAAGGGCAATTCCTACTTAACAGTCATGCAAAGCATCCAAAAACACGGCAAACGGGCTTCCAAATTAAGAGTTCCTAGGATACTAATCACTAAGTACAGTTCGGGAAACTAGACCAAAAGAGGGGAAGATTGGGATAATATTGGGGTTAGAATCTTTAAGGATACTACTGGCGAATACTGCAGCGAGAGGTTTCGAACAACAACAATCGGGAAACAAGATTGTTATGGTTAACAGGAATAAAAAGGGGAGAAAAGGGTACCGAATAAGTAACCGAACATCGCATCGATAGACAAGGTGCGGCAAGAAAACAGGGTGGCATTGGATGCAAAACAGCAACTCGGGAGGCAACCAAACAATGACGGAAGAGGTAACAGCCGCCATGGTAGCCATGCCAAAAGAGAAGGAATGAGGGGGGAAAGCAAGGCAAAGGACCCCCTGGATTTGGGAGCGTAGCATGCCAAATGGCAGCCTTTGGCTCTAGTTTGGGAACCTTGGCCACCTACAAGCCCAAGCTAAGCTTCACCCCGGACGGCGCCTTCTTCTTCTTCTTCTTGGGGGGCTCACCATCATCTTCACCATCCATACCAAAGGCATCGATGCGGACTCGTGCAAGGATGGCCTCTTCTACTTCTTGAGCATGAGGCTGTGCTCTTGAAGCCACAACCTGCTGCCGCAAGTCCTCAAAACGTGCAAGTCCGGCATCAGTCCACCCTCCAAATTCGCAATTTCCACCCTTGCCATTGGAGTACCGGCCATCATGTTTCCCATTCTTATCTTCTGCTTTGGACCTTGAGACCGCCTTCTTCTCCTTGCACCTGTTTGTCAAGGCGAAGTATGCAGGCCACTTTCCTGGCAAATTCAGAAGATTGCCTTCCTTATCCCTTGCATCAGGATCCGGAGTAGCACCAATCTCAAAAAAGAGGACAGCCATAGCTTCCGTATTAGGAGGCACGCAAACCTCACCCTCATATGTTGCTTCCGAAATGGTGCTATGCACCCGGATCCCTTGCCTCCACCACTTGGATGCGCCAACCACTTGTGCAAGGAAGCAGTTCCACCACCACACAGCCTTCTTCATCATGTCCTCATGAGCAGCCTTTTCTTCATCAGTGGCATCCTCCTTTGGGGGAATCAACACCTTGTCTCGGTTCATAATCTTGAAGATGTCATCCATGGAGGGGAAGTCTGTTAGTTGCTCTAAGCTCTCTTAGTTGTTACTGTTGTCTATTGAGATACTACTGAAAAAGTGGGTGGGCTCTGTATTTCATGGTATTTCTACTGGCATGAAATTCTAGTACAGAGGTACAGGTTCAATCCCTAATCGCGAATCCCCAACACACTCCTGTGGTCGTCGAGCTTGTCCTAGTCGTCGACCATGCTTACTTACTTACTCCGCTTAGCGTTCCTTCTTTGAACGGACATTCTTGTCCGACCGTGACCCTCCTTCTGAGTGCCCTGGCTCTGAGTGTTCCACAACACCCATCAACTTGTCCACGTTCTGTTTGAACAGTCAACCTTGGTTCGGCTTCGTCCAGAAGTCCGCAACCATATCATCAGTTGGACACCAGTCCACACTGATCTCCTTCTTTGTGACTCTGTTGCTCACAAAGAAGTACCTAATGTTGATGTGCTTCGTTCGTTTACTACTAGAAGCTTTACAGTTCTTCTCTAGAAGGATGGCACTCTTGTTGTCCTGATAGACTATAGTTTCTTTAACTACATAGCCTTGCTCCCGAAGGAACTGCCTCGTCCAAAGGATTGATGGCATCAGGTCATCAACTGCTACGAGTTCACTCTCAGTCGAGCTTCTCGTGTTCAACTTCTGTTTCGTCGAAGTCGATAATGGGTAACCGGTGCCCATGGTCAAACCACCTCCGGTATGACCCCTCATGTTTGGATGGACTGCGAAAGAACCATCAACATACCATTTCAATATGCCACTTCCGTCGGCTTTGAGAACTAATGGTAGTTTTCTAGTACGTCTAATGTACTGCATGAGGTGGACTAGTTTATCCCAATCTTGCCTATCCAGTTCCTTGACTCTAGTCGTGAGGAACGATATCGCCGTACCTGTGTCTGGTCGGGCTCTCTTCGTAGCGAATAACACCTTACCCACCAGGCTGTGAAAGGTGTCTGCCTTGCTCGTTGGGAGCTTTTTGCAGGATTCGTCTACTGTGAATAGGTCTTTCGGGGCTGCACTACTTCTAGTTTTCGTGCCCCCTTCTCTGGCGATGCCTTCTCGAAGGCTTCCAGGATTTCATCAACGTAGCTACTTGTACATTGATACATTGCATTGACCCTTCGTCGTGAAGTCTATGGTCATGCCAAGATACGTGTGGACCTTTCCGCGGCTCACCGTCATCTCTCCAGTGCCGTCCTCGTATATGCTTTCGTATTCATCACGAAGCACTTGGATCAGCTGGTCGTGAACCTTCGAGTCCTTGTGGCTAAGCTTACAGTCGTCTACATGCCAGCAGACTGTTTGTTGCTTGCCGTGCACCATTCTGTTGGCTACACATGGGTCGTAAGGATTAATCTTAAATCCGTTCCGGATCATCGTCTTCCGGAACTTACGGTAGTATAGTAGGCTAGCTACCATGGTGCCGTAGATGGCATTCAAGCATTGCAGTAGCAACTGCTTGTTGCCTTTCTTATCCGTTGTCACGAACGGTTTGTAGACGTCTGGGGCTATTTCACACAGCATGTCTACTAATACTCCTCTTACTCTACTCTAATGATTACCATATCTTTTTCATCCTCGACTCGTGTCTGGATGAAGGCGTTTGGGATGTCAATTACTGCCACATCCCTTTCCTCTTCAGCGTCGATTATGCAGGAGAGTAGCACTGCTTCTGTCGACACTGTTGGCGAGCTTGCGTCTTCCTTGGAGATGAAGTCACGCTGTTTGTTGCCTCCTGCAACCGCTCGGCCTTTAATCTTCCCATTCCTTTTCAACTTTAGGAACAGGTGTGACTCTAGGATACTCTTGCGTTCCATATCGCTGAGTTCTTCCATTTTCTTAGGACGGAAGGTATCCCTGAGATGTAACTGCTTCATCTCGGCAAAGGCTGCATCATGCGCTTTGTCCTTCCACTCCTTGAGTCCAGCCTTCAATGACAACTGTGTCATGATGGCTGCTACCACATCAGGTTCTTTGTCTACCTGTGTGTAGAACATGTGAGCATCTGGATGCAAGACACGTTCAGTTGTATGGACGTTTGGCGTCTCATACTTCTTTCCGTCAAAGCTGGGAATATACGATTCCTTTGCTTGTGTCCTCACTCTACTGGACCTGCGCACTCTTGGCGTTTGCTCAGGTGCGGCTTGGGCTTCAGCGTCCACTCCTGGAATCTGTTCCAGGGGCTGTTGGTCCGTAGTGGGTTCCGGTTCCTCTACCGTCTCAACGATAGGTTGGGTAACCGGTTCCGTTTCCGTTTCGATTTTCGGTTCAACGCCGATTTCATTCGGTTCGTTGACTATCGATTCTTCGTTGTCGTTGACGTTGTCCTGGGGATCGTCGGGATCATTGCTTATTATTTCCGCTCCTTCCCATACAGATGGCCACCTTTGTGCGTCCTATCATGCTGTTACGGGGCGAGTCTTCTTCATGCACCTGGCAGTAATCTCGGAACTGCAGGCTCAGGTGCTTTTTATAGTCCAGGGACTCTCCCATCATTATCATACGGGGGCTCATTGTCTGGCTGACCCCCGCCTTACTTGGGAAGTACGTCAACTGTTTGACGACTTGTAACACCAAGTTGACGGTTAATATTTTTGGCATGCGTGTGAACGGTAGGCTATGCCGGACAGCTCGTGTCCTTTCCTTGACTACCCGGATTCTACGTTCGATCTCGGGTACGTGCTCATTAGCACTGGCAACGTTCACTACCGGTCCACCCGGCATTGCCATGATTGTGTTGGACAGAGGCTCAAACTCATTGTCCACATGAATGGTCGTGATTTTAAAACCACGAGCCTTGTAGAATCGATAGACCTCCTTAACTGCTTCTAGGATGGTCTCTAGTTTCCTGTTGGGCAGGTGTCTAGATGTTGTAAAATCGATTTTACGGCTTAGCGTTAACAGGAACGGAATTCCTGCCACAAAGAAAATGTCCATCGTTAGGAACACATCCTTGTGTAGTTGCAAAAAGTCTCTCGGTACTTTCATTGCATTGCCTGCCACTGCGTTCGGTTTCGTCCGAGTGGTCTTGCCTTTCAACGCATCAATATCCTTGCCCCATATAGCTTGTGCCGTATCGATGTCTTCGACGGTCACAGGGCAATTTGCGATTTGATTGCTCATAATCGCCCATCAAAAATCTTTAATCGATGGATAGACGAGT